TTACGTACGTCGTTCGTACGTACGTTACGTTACGTACCGTACCGTACCGTACGTTACGTACGTACGTACGTAGTAGTACGTCGGTTACGGTTACGTAGGTAGTAGGTAGGTAGGTAGGTAGAGAGAGAGAGAGAGAGAGAGAGAGGGATTTTCAAAAAGGACACGAGTGAAAGGTATGGCCTAACATGGCTCTGAAAAATAAATTAAAAAAAGAATAATGCAACACGTCCAATGCTACTAGTGAAAAGAAGCACCAGCGCACGTTTACTATGCTCATACTCATGCTCATGCGCGCTCATTTTGTTCATCTACTCCCACAATAACAATTTTTGGGAATCACTTAACCTTAATAAGATGATCTTTTTCAAAAGAAAAATTTTGAATTGCCGAGGTAGTAAAAAACCGGATGATTCACTGTAGTGAACCACTTGATTCACAATAAGGACTTAGTTGGGTGAACCACCGGATAAAAGAAGCAATTTGTTCAGGTGAAAAATTTTAAAAGCCCAAAAAAAAACCCAAAAAGATATGGATAGAAATAATGAGAAGAGATAAATGGCTTATTGTCTAAATAAAAGTATGCACGGGCTGGCTCTATCTATTCCTTAGCGCAGAGAGAGAGAGAGAGAGATGGCCTTAATGTGAGAGCCATCAAGAGGGAGACTAACACAGACACATATTGTACCATTGTCTCATTAACAAACACACCCTTTCCATCCAGTAATGAAAAAATGGCAGGGTGACTAAACCCCTGAAACAAAAGGAATAAAATCCTTCAATTTCTTACAAATTAGAGTGTCTTCCATAAAACGCACACTTCACCACATCGACCCAAATGAAAACCCTGCGAGGGGAAGGCTCTCTCGACAATTGCTTTCCATTGATCTCATTTATAAAAGCCTTACTTGAGTTAAAAGAATCGGTACTCACTATCATGTGTATTTGCAGATACCGCACACCAGCTTCATATAATAATGGGGAATTCCGGTTGACCACAATATGCCATTGTTACAAGGTATACTCTGTACGACGTCATGGATTTTCCATCTCTTCTACTTTGTCGGTGAATTTGGCTAATTCACGAGGAAATGAGACCATGAATTGGTCCTGCTCTTAGTCAGATTGGGAGTGTGGATTCTGATACAGCAACCATTGTTAAGAGAATGAGAACTTTGAGAAGAGAGAGAAAGGACTGGAAGAGGCACCATCAACAACAGTCGGGGTAGTGGTCGTTGAAACATCAGATGAGATGCGGGAAGCTTCTTGACACTTTCTAATCTGAAAGATGTGATAAACAAGCAATATTAATACAGAATGTCGAAAGCCATGTGCTGACCAATCAAGAATGCTCTCTCTCTCTCTCTCTCTCTCTCTCTCTCACGCACGCATAGACCCCACAAAAAACAGTTACAGGCAAACCCCAATACCTCACCACACCGTCCTAGCAGCTGCTTATAGCTATGCTTTGCAAAACATTATAAGACATAGGAGTGGGAAAACACCTATGTTAGTGTTTATAACATTAAAAATATAGGATTTTACACTACAAGACCATTCACTTTTAGTACAAGAAGTCACAATCACTCTTATCCACTGAATGAAAAATCCTACGTATTAAAATGTGGATAGTCAAGAATTTTTCTTTTGCATTTTTTTGCACAATTAATGACCCATCCGCAGCCACCTGATTTTGCATCTAAGGGTCAATAATAATTGTGATCTCCTTATTTCAAAACTAAATGATCTCATGATATACATTTCCTTAAATATATATAATCATTCTTCTCTCTCTGACTTCCACCAGAGGAAATATATTTTCGCACATGACACTGAGAATGGAATACGACTTTTTCAAACATTGTCTACTTGATTAAAATCTTCTAGGCCCTTCATTCCTATGCATAAAATGTAAAAGTAAAATATTAAAAATAAATAAATAACTAATAGCCAAAAAGATAAATGCATGCATTAAATTCATGAAATAACATGTGCACAGATGCGGGATTTGAATTAGTTCAATTCATATATTTTCCATGTGTGCCGTTTGGGTGCTTGTCCATGTGGCAATGCCTCCACATGCAAGTAATGAGTCCTTTTGCACATGCTCGTGAGTGCGCACACACACACACACACGGAGAAAGACCTCCTCAGGGCTGAACTGTAATAGTGTTGCTACAACAGGGAGAAGAGCCTCCACCTCCCCTGCAGATGAAAAAGACCATCAAGGTGAATTGTTCTTGTTGTGTTTCATGCCTGTAGCATATCCAAAATTGTATTGAGCATACCAGTTTCGAGAAGTTTGAGGACCACATTTTTGAGATACGTCATGTCCACCCCTTCACGCTTCTGCGCTCGTTCCATGTTCCGCAACTCGGCCTTCAACATAGCTTCCTGCATCAATGGTTACTAATCCATCTCACTACTTATTCATCGAAGGGGTTTCCTCTTGTTGAGAAGTCTCTTTCTCTCTCTCTCTCTCTCTCTCTCTCTCTATATATATATATATATATATATAGTAGTAGTGTAGTAGTAGTAGTACGTATACTTATTACTTAGTAGTAGTAAGGTACGTACGTACTAACGTACTACTAACTACTACGTACGTACGTAGTA